TAAATGCTAAGCTGTAGTTCTCCTGATTCCATTAAATGAAACTATGCAGTCAAGGAGTCTGAAAGAAATTAAACATGATGATTGTGCAGCCACCACTGCCACTTTCAGGAAGAAAAGCATTTCACCACAGAGAGAAAATCACCTGTTTCTTCCAGATCTAATTAGTTAAAAAGTTTCCAGTTAGGGGACAGGAGAAGGTATAACACTGAATGTTTGATAATCAGCATTAAACGAGTGACTGCAGAGGCAAATAGAAATGTATGATTTATTTTCCTAGAATGAATCCACTGACAGTCATATCCTGCTCATGTACTTGTCTGCATGAGCACGATATGTGGCCACAGAGAGTGGTCGTTGCTCAAGGATACGATCCTCAAAGCACAAAAGAAAACCGTTCCTGCAAAGAGGAAAGGCAGCAGAAGGGCTGGCAAGCCCTCCTGGCTTAATAGGGACATGGCGGTCCTCTTAAAAAAGAAAAAAGAGATGTATGCACGGTGGAAGCTAGGGACAGTCCTCAAGGAGGGCTATACAACTGTGGCCAGCATTTGTAGGGATATGATCAGGAAAGCCAGGGTGGTGACGGAGTTTAGGTTAGCTATGGGAGTCAAGGACAATAAGAAGTCCTTCTTTAGGTATGTAGGCAGTAGAAGGAAAACAAATGGAAGTGTGGGACCCCTGCTTAACACTTCGGGACAGCTGGTAACTGACATTCAGGCAAAAAACTGAACTCCTGAATGCCCACTTTGCTTCAGTGTTTCACCGGACCAAGGGGAAAGTCAAGTGAGATAAGGCTCATAGGGGACATGCCAGGACTGACAGCCTCCCCACTGTGGATGCTGAGTGGGTGCAATACCAGTTAGAAAAGCTAGACATTTATAAGTCAGCAGGACCGAATGGACTCCATCCAAGGGTGCTGAAGGAGCTGGCTGAGGTCATCGCAGAACCCCTGGCAAAGCTCTTTCAGAATTCGTGGCACACAGGGGAGATCCCTGAGGACTGGAAGAGGGCCAACATAGTGCCCATCTTCAAGAAGGGGAAGAGGGAGAACCGGGCAACTATAGGCCAATCAGCCTAACCTCCATCCCAGGGAAAATCCTGGAAAAACTCATTAAAGAATCTATGTGCGATATGCTCGCAGAAGGTAAGATTCTGAATAACAGCCAGCATGGTTTTGTCATGGGTCTTACCAACCTCATCTTCTTCTATGATCAGGTCTCTTGCCACCTGGACATGGGAGACATTATATACCTAGACTTCCAAAAGGCTTTTGATCTAGTATCTCACAATATCCTTGTGGGAAAACTGGCAGATTGCGCTTCTCGACGGTTCAGTGGGTGGGAAACTGGCTACAGGGTAGGGCCCAGAGAGTTCTCATGAATAGATCCCATGAATGGAGCGAAGTGGCCAGTGGTGTCCCTCAGGGGTTCATGCTTGGACCGATGCTTTTCAACATCTTTATCAATGATTTGGATGGGAGAGTGAAAAGCTCACTGGCCAAGTTTCCAGACAACACCAAGTTATGCGGCAGTGTGGTCACACCAGAAGATAGGTTGCAGATACAGGCGGACTTGGACAGGTTCGAGAGTGGGGCAGACCGGAACCAGACAAAGTTTAATACTTCCAAGTGTAAGGTGCTCCATCTGGTGGCAAACAACCCTCAACATACACACAGGCTCAGTGGTGACAGCTTGACTTGCACCACGGCTGAAAGGGACCTAGGAGTAATGATTGATCATCGTATGGATACGAGCTGTTAGTGTGAAGCGGTGGTCAGCAGGGCAAACAACACGCTGGCATGTATCAACTAATGCATCTCGTGTAAAACTAAAGAAGTGATACTCCTGCTGTACTCAGCACTGGTGAGACCGCAGTTGAAGTTCTGCATCCGGTTCTGGGTGCCACACTTCAATAAGGACATGGAAAAGCTTGAGAGGGTCCAGAAAAGAGCCACCTGTATGATCAGGGACTTGCAAGCCAAGCCATAGGAGGAGAGGCTGAGGGACCTGGGCCTCTTTAGCCGAAAGAAGAGAAGGTTGAGAGGGGACTTGGTAGTGGCTTATCGCTACATCAGGGGAGTACATCAAGAACTCGGTGAACAACTTTGGGCACAGGTCTGCTGTACAAGGGTACAGCTTAGGACAATACCAATACAACTCCCTTCATGATAGGGTAAATGTGCCAATACTAGGGAGTTGGGCAAATTTGACTTTATGTTTCTAAGCCAACAGAGATTTCTAGGTATGAAAGCCATGTGTAGATCATCCCTGAGGCAGTGACCTAAACCTAATTCCTGGGAGGCAGGCAACCTCCCTCACAAAACACCCATCTGTTTGTGAAATGAAGGATATAGTAGAGACAGGGCAATTGCTTCCTAAAGCCTGCAGCAATTGTAGACTGGCCACACAAGGAGACTAGGGTGCCCCACTGTCTTTCTATGTACCTTTCAGCATCAGTGGCATTCACAAAAGCCCTGTCTAACTCCTGGTGGGCTCTAGGTCCCTCAGCACCAAAGGTTTAACTGATTGAGTCCCAGAAGCACCCAAGTTTCTGATGCTGGGCTGCTCATAACCGCTTAAATCCCTGACAATGTGGAGCTGCTCAGTGCCTAATTCACCTCTCAGCCCCTCCAAACTAGTAATTTCTATGCCAATCTCACTGATCAAACAAGTGTGCTCAGCCTACATCTAACCAAAAAAACCCATGGCCTGAGGAGACAGTGCCCTTCCTGTTGCCTAGAGCCCCAAAGCTGTGGGTATGGGACTCTTAAATTCAGACCCACCAGGTTGTAGGGTGTACAGTCCATCCTCTTGCAGCTACTCCACCTTGTATAAAATACACAACTGGGCCAGAGAGAGTCTGATTGTAATGCCTTATTATTAGGGCACTCGCCAGGGGAGAGAGACTCATGGTCTAGTACTTGCTGCCAGGACTGGGCTGGAGGCAGCACTACGCCTACTCCTATTTTAAAAGGCAGAGGTATGGTCCCTCCTCAGTTTTTGAAAGGAGCCGACAACTCCAGGGGTTCACATTGGGAATGTGAGCAGAGAAAAGAGCACCCACCCAGGCCAGAGTTAGAGACCCAAACCCCTCTGAGGGGCAGGGCTTATGTCGTGTTTTCTGTTGGTATCTCTCTTTGACCGGTTCAGGCTGCCTGTTCTGTTTGCTGGCTCCTATGGGTCCCATTCCTGGGCACCTAGTCCCAATGCATTGTGTAGGGAGCCGAGGCAGGTAACTCCAGCTTCCAGTTTGCAGCAGGTTAACAGGATGCCTCAACACCTGATCCCTTAGTAAACCTAGTCTGGTGCTGGTAACCCTCTAGTCCACAGAGTAAAAAAATTCAGGATTCCAGCTCTAAAAATCATGTCATTGCCTGAAAAATAATACAAGTATACAATTTGTGAGTTTTTGGAGTTCTTTTCTTTGGACTTCTAGTTTTGAACCCCTAGGTGTCACTTTTTCAGCTTTTCTTGGTCACCCTAAACAGTAGGAAAATACTCTTTTTTTAATATGAAACCTGAGATTCTCCTGGAATCACATGACTCCAGGAGCCGAGCTTTCAGGAAAAGGAGCATAAGGCCCCTGGATAAAATCGCAGGAGATGGAAATACTGCAGCAGCCAGCTTCCTTTTCCAAGTAAAACAATTGATTGCTGCAATTTATCACAAATACTATTACTGTCATTGTCGTTGTTCACTCCTCTGCCAGCTGATCACAATCACCCAAGGGAAGGGAAAGGGATAAAAAAAAGAAAAGAGAATGCTTATGGGCCATTTGGAGATGCCATCCCCCAGCTCTCGGTCATGCTGCCTGGTCACTTCATAATGCCGAGACCCAGGGGAAGGAGCAGCGTTCCTACTCGTGTACGGTGCAGGTTAATCTAACCACGCATCAGACATCACTAATGGGCCATAAATCTGTTCAGCTCTCTGCTGAAGGCAGTGTGATGGTGCTCAGGAGCTTGCTGTCCCTGTAATGCCGTGTCCCTTGGGTGGGTCACGGGCAGTGCAGGGTTGGATTTAAGACCAGGCCTGTGCTTCTCGCAGAGGAGGCTGGAGAGCTGGCTCCGGTGGAGACCCGGCAGGCTCGTGCAACACGATGCGTGTCCCTGCCATCACTGGAAGGGGGCGAGGGGCCACACGGAGCAGCTCGGGTCTACCGGGCATTAGCGAGGCTGGCAAAACCCGTGCGAATGCACTAGCACGTTGCAGAATTACTGCACTGCGCATTAGCGTCACGTAAAAACCGTGCGTCTGCACGACTGTGCTGTAGTGCCACTTCGGCTTCATTTTCAGGGGGACCCAGGTCTACTCTTGGGTGCTGGGGCTGCATCACATGCTCCAGTGAAGCTGTGCAATGCCGGGGGAAGACCTTTGCTGTCTCCTGGCCCTTACTTTGCTGCGTGGGGAGGCAAGAGGGCCCTGCTTGGCACCCCTGCCCGTGGGGCACTGCACTGTGCCCACCCCTCAACCTTTTCTCTCTTGGGAAGACAGCAAAATCCTCCCAGGCAGCGGGCCCCCATGGGGCTGCCACAGGGACACGTGCAGGGACCGCGGGGGCAGGGAGGGGTGAGCGCCCGCGGGTCTCATGCCGCCCGCCCCAACCGGGGACGGGGTCACGTGACACCGCGGCTCGAGCGGAAGGATACGGAGGGCTTGACAAGTGCCTCCCTCCTTGCATCCTTCCGATGCCTCAGGTTTGGGCAGCCGCCGCCGCCTGCCCTCCGTAATCCCGACACGCTGCTCAGAGGGAGTGGCCGCGGCGGGCGGGGGAAGCCGCGAGAGGGCTGCGGAGGAGCGGCAGCGGCGGAGCGGGGGGAAGGGCAGGGACTACTTGTTTGGAGACCCTGCGAGACTGGGGCCGGGGCGGGCGGAGTGATCCGGCGGAGTGAGGGGGCCGCGGCGCCCACACAGAAAAGGCCGCCGGGGCGGACGGAGCCTCTCGCCGCACCGCACCGCACCGCCCGCGGGCCCCGCCGCCCGCAGACATGGCTCAGATCCTACCCATACGTTTCCAGGAGCACTTCCAGGTGAGCGGGGCTGCGGGGTGCGCACTAGGCCCCTCGGGCCGCGCCTCGCATCCGCCCCCGTTTGTGCCGAGTCACGGCCGGGGATGGCGGCGCCCGGCCCGGGGGTGGCGGGGCCGGCAGAGGACGTCGTGAGGAATGAATGAGCGGGCCCCGCCCTCCCCCTTCCCTCGGGCAGCGGCG